CGATTTACGTGACTTATCTGTTAAGGTTTTCATATGCTTGTCGGCAACTTCTGCTGCTTTGCACACGTCCATACACCTTTCTAGCGATATATCTTTTTCTCGAAGAAGCCGTGCTCGAGTTCTGTCATTGCTGATTCCTTCGACAATCCTGTCTTTAACGATCGAGTTTGTAAGTTCTCCATACTCACAGTTCTTTGCTAATCGTTTCAGTTCCGTCACAAACTGCTCTACCGATTCGTCAGGCTTTTGTTTCCTCAAGTTAAACACATGCCTTTCGTGCGTGACATTTTTTTTGGAAGACAATACGCTTCAAATTTCGCTACTAACGGCTCGATTTTATCTTTTTCTGTATCTTCAAACGTGAGTGTTTCGTAAACTGTAATCGCTGCTTCGCCAGCCAAGGTCAAAAACGTTGCACACTGTATTTTCTGCGACTTTTTGTCTTTCTCAGTAGCGGTCATGTATAGCTCGAAGGCTTTCTTCCAACGCCGCCAATTTTCCGCTGCATTTCCATCGAGTTTCAACGGTTTTGGGGCTGGGATTTGTTCTGCCATTTCGTGTTCTTGTATCTTTGATTAAAATCCCTTTTCTGACACCATGTAATGTTATATATTTTATTTATCTTATGCCGTATAAACTACATTTAACTTTACTTGATAACTCAACTATATTCAGTCCTCGTTCAACGTTCCTTCGACGTCCCATGTGCTCGCATGCATGAGTCACGTGATATCCTTACAGTAGCCAGTCACTGTTTTACCGGACGCTCAAAAAGTTATATTGAATATAAATGTCTTAAGCGAAAAAAGGGAACGGGTTTTTATTATTTATTTTCTGGGTTCGTGCATAACATCGTTCTGTTTATAATAACATAGGCATGCTGATGCACGTAGTTTAACATTTAGACGGTGACATGAGGTAGCTCCAATTGTGTAAATATATAATACTTGTATATGTATTATAGTACACTAATTGAACAACGTTCGAATTATAGCCGTTTGGATTCTGAGAACATTACATTTGCAGCAGCTAGCACATGGACATGGTCAACTTGATGTTACAACATATGCAATGCGAAATACACACGCAAAAATCTTGCATCTTGTCAACAACTTGTATAGCAATGTTGTTAGTTTGTCAAGTTGCTACAAGATTACCACTCACAATCTGTTCTGTGGTTGTTGTTCTTGTTGTTAACAAGTTGTTGAATTGCAGGACGATGTAACAGGTTGTTGGAACAACGTCGTAACCAGTCTGTTGAGTTCAACAACCTTGTGACAAGTTGTCAACAACCCGTTGACAACTTGTCAACAAGCTGGGAGCAAGCAGTGCGAACATTGATACTGATGATAATTGTTGAAACAGCATTGGTACAAGTATGCTGCAGGTTTTTGCAAGTTTTATATATACGTGTGTTTGGCCGGCGTCCACTGTTTTGGATGGCAAATATTTAAAACCAGTAAAATAGCAATCATGCCGTCAATTCTTGGTTTGCACTTGACGACATAATTGGCATGGCGGCCATGTTGGACGAATGTTATAACAAAACTATTATATGTTTATCGTCATGCAAACATATACAAAGAACTTATATAACAAAAAGAATATTAACATGAGCTATTGTATTTGGAGCGTGCATGTTTTCGTGCTCCAGAGATTGTTTGTAAACCGCCGACTGGTCGTTAAATTGTGGCTGTGGTTCTCCTTTTGAGTCAAAGTTACCATTTTGGGCTATATCAGGTTTCAGGCATGTCCGCTGCTGTGTGGGGTGCCACATGCAATGGCGGAAATAGATTATTTAGAAGTTAACCGGCTGTATCTTTCTTTTTGTTGGTTTACCGACTTTTTCCAAAACGAATGATCGATATAAATTGATATAGGTCGGAAAAAAAGCTGTCCGAATATATGTATGTTAATGTATTATGGCAGGACCAAATTGAATCTTCGCCATGTATGACCCACGAGTTTATCGCGAACCTCATGCACATTCATGTATTTGAAAAGTTACGACTTACCGCTTCATATAGTTGAGGCGTTGAGCGGTTTATTTTCAAGTTTTTCACATCAAATAAAAATACGTCTCAGTGCAGCCTAGCCCTATGCTAGTTGTTTCAAATGCAAGACTACATCTCGGCGCTCGATAACTAACAGTTGATCAATGACAATGCCGGCCCAATGGCAATGCATTTGCTGATGTAAGATATAAACTTTCTTTTAAAAGTCTCTTTGTCAAATAGAAATATCTATTTTATTTATCTCTTTTAACTTATTATATCAGACCTTTTTAAATATATACATCGTAATATATATAATATAATCGTAGTGTAGCTTTTCCTGTTATCCAAAGTGCATGGTCCTATGTATAACAAGTCGGGAAAATGTAATCGGAGAATTTGTTGACACTTATTTCATCGGCAACATTGTTAAATTAAAATGCACTATTCAGCAACTGAATTCTTTGTTGGGGAAATATGTTTGGAATTGTCCACAATGGTCAATGCCTGTCGAACAAGGCCAATAGCAATATATGTATATATAGAATGCAGTCTTTATGGACGTTTTTGGACAATTTCTCAACCTAAAGTTGATGAAATGTCCAACAACACCTGTTCTTACTCTTAGTCTTTTTAGTTGGTATAAAAGTTTTCCAATTTCCATTTTTGTGTCTGTCATTCCCACTAACCATGCAAATCAATTTTCCCAATCCAAAAATAAGCAAATCCCAGTCCCCATTTGTATCAAGTGGCAAATAAATAGAATTAGACATGTATACTGATGTAGTTTAATTTTCTTTCTTCTATAAACTGATTCGAAAAATGCTTGTCACTGATATTTTTTTCTTCCGAAATTAATTTCAAGTTCTCCACCAAGGGCAAGGTCACTGCAAGTTATAATAGAGTACTTTGTCTTTAATCAAAACTAACAGTTTTACAAATTATGAACATAATACCTTTGTGAAATTAAATGTTAAAAATACCGAGGTTTATGCCAGATTTAGAAATAAAGTCTGACTAATTATTTTTCTAAAACTTTCACCTCTGGTCATCATTAATTATAGAATTCAATTCACTTTCAAACAGGATTTTTCAAGAGGTTTACTTTATTTTTAACAACGTTTCGGACAGTTTTACTGTCCGTCTTCAGGTTCAAAAAAAGAAGACCTGAAGACGGACAGTAAAACTGTCCGAAACGTTGTTAAAAATAAAGTAAACCTCTTGAAAAATCCTGTTTGAAAGTGAATTGAATTCTATAATTAAAGTCTGACTAGCCTAGTTTTGGTGCTTTTTGTTTATTGGTCTGGTAATCATAAAAGAATAGCAGGGTTGGCATTTCTGAAGTTACAACCTGGTCTGCTTATCCAGGGTAGCATTTGCTGCCCTGTACTGCTACAGAAACCGCATGCATATATTGACCGTGCTCTCACATGCGAGTGTTCATGGGCGGCTGCAATCGACGGTACAATCCGCTGCAATATCACGGGCGCGTTATACATAACGTAATGTCAACATTGTTTACAGTCGGTCGATGACACTGATATGGTCGATGACAACTAAAAATTGAACTGAAAAACTTTATATTTTCTTTCTTTCTCCGTCCTAAAACCTTTCCGATTTCCTTTTTTCGAAGTTATTCGCCACGTTGAAGAACAGCAGGGTCCGATTTACCTTCCGAAGCACAATCGGCATGAATTTGGGACTCGTTTTGTCAATTTTAGGTAAGCCTCTAGCTTATAATAAATTTTTCAAACTACTTTGCATAGAATTTAGTTGGTAAACAAAGTTAATATTTGCTATAGAATTATTAAAATACGTTGTTTAACTCGAATCACAGTAGCCATAGTTGAAAGGGCTTATAGAATTTGTTTTGTAGTGATACTTTAGAGCCGAACGGGTTTGTAGCGAAAAATATAGCTGTTTCCGATTGAGATGTATTTGTCCATATATTCGTAGCACCGAGCGTAGCACCTGCTTGTCCTGTTAGAATCCTTTTATGGCGATAAATGGCTCAATGTTAGGGATAGGATCTATTTAAGAAAAACTGTAGTTATGTGAGTTTAAGTTACGTGTACGAAACAGTAGTTATTTGTGTTGTATTTGATTTCCGTTCTTGGAAAAAAAGGTAAATGTCATGACATGTTGCTTGAGATTTTTAATTGCGCATCACAAAATATAGGTCTTTAATACTATAAACGGCGCTGGCTTCAGTGGTTATAAAGGTTCGACCCCTGTCTCCCCATGGAAGTGAAACCAAATTTAAAAGGCCTAAATTTCAGCAATGAAAAATATAAAATGTCAGATTGTTCAAATTGTTCATGAAAATCATACTAATTATTTGATATGTTTAACCCATTAAGCGCCAGTGCTCTCCCCTTGACGAGTAAAAGATTCCGTCTGGTGTTAGACAGAGTAAAATAATAAAGTAGGGTGCATTGCAAATAAATTATTTTACTTTATTATTTTACTCTGACTAGCTGTCTAACGCCAGATGATTTTACTTGTCAAGGGAAGAGTGCTGGTGCTCAATGGGCTAATGCCGCTAATCAACATTTTTTAATTTGCTCTGTGACTCTGTCTAATGCCGGACAATTTTACATGTCAAGGGGAGAGCAGTGATACTCAATGGGTAAGTAACAAACATATGAGCATATGAACGTATGTTATTGCATCCGAAATTCTTTCTTTTTAATTGCAGTGTCATCACTTGGCCATGTCCAAGCAATAAACAGCTCAAATCCTGAATGTGAGGATCTTGACCGCCTGCAGTCAAACATGGCAAAAGCTATTAAAGCAGCAAGTGGCTCTGTGAAATGCAAGCCTAACAGTAACTGTACAGGTATACAATACAACGAAAATATATAAATAAGCTGGCAGCCACCAGAGGGTGTACCACTGCATAGCTAATTTCAATTACCATTGGCTAGCAAATAGCTAGAACAACAACCAAAAACAGGCTACAAATACAATGAATTGTTAAAAAATGTCTTTACCCTTTTGTAACCAGCATTTATAAAAATCCTGATGTTTTAGTGTTGTTTTAATTAATTAATATATCTTCTCAAATATATATCTTGTCAAAACAAAAATTTCATCCATCCGTATACTATAATAGTTTTGTTTGTGAAAACACCACGTAAATTTATTACTGCAAAGCTTTCGATCAGTAAGCCCGGATCTTCATCAGTTCTAATAATATGTGACTTGTTCAATTCACATGCCCTTTTTATATACAAAAGTGAATTGCATTCTTATACTGCAGTAAACAAGCTTAGCTGACTCAGACACAAATTGGATAAAAAGATGAACACACTTAAAATGTTGTCAAAACTTACCCCATATTTGTAAAATTATTGTTCAGCCACCTACTTTTCACCATGCATAGATGTTTACTTAAAATAATTTTGAAAGCTCTGTATCTCTTGGTTTAATTGTGGAAAACACCTTGTATATTTTGAAAAACACCACGCCAAGCTTTCAGTTAAAATTGAAGCTTTCAGTTGAAATTGAAAAGCAGAACACTATAGATCTGAAGGAAAAGCTGTTAGACAATATCTTGTGTGCACGCTCTCTTAATTACTGCACAAAGTTAATTTCTCGTTCTTCACGTTGTTCGTGCATGTGCATAGTATGTAATTAGAACCACACCACCACACTAGTTGCTAGTAACACACTGTAATATTACAACAAAAATTGCGGTTACTATAGAATATTTTAATACAACACAAAACAATTGACACTTTACGTTTCACTAATTTTTCTTCTGAAGATGACTTAAATTAATAGTTGAAACTTAAAGAATGAAAATTTTTACAATTTTCGGAGTGCCTTTTGTTTTACTGTAAAGGCTCGTTTACACTTGCAATTTTTTTGGTGCTATTTTCTTTTTCTGATGGATGTGAACAAGTCATGCGTAAGTTGTGAACATGCCTGTAGAAAGTAGGAAGTTATGGAGCGACGCTACCTCCAAAGTCTAAAGGGCTAACTCCAAACCAAAATATACACTTGAGTAACTTGTGTAATTCAAGACTGAGTTGAAATATGAATTCTGGAGTTACTGGCTAACTCCAAAAATCATTTGGAGCTAAGTATACAACTGCAAAAATAATTTAGGAGCTAGGCATCTAAGCCTGGAGTTACTGGCTAACTCCAATAATCATTTAGAGCTACGTATAACTCCAAAATCATGAAAAAACAAGGTATTTAAGCCTTGAGTTACGCCTAACTCCAAAAAGTATGTGTATAGCGAGGCGAATCAGCCTATAGCCGCTAGAAACATACATGTAAGGTTGAAGTTACTTGCTGTGTTGCTAACTCCAAAAATAATTTGGAGCTTGTTATCTAAGCCAGGAGTTACTGACTAACTGGAATAACTGCAAGAACTCTCAGAATGCACTTCTATATTCCGCTGTATTAAATAAGACTGAAATACCCACAATATGCGCACAAACATGACATTGACACACTTGGCATTTTGTTCTCGTTCAGAGGCTAAATTGTGATCAGCAGTTGACTGTTGAGGCAAACCCATTCTCGTACACCGCGTCCTTGTCATGCTCTGTTGATCGTGTGTAAGGCGGGCTCTGGGTACGAGAATGTGGCATAGTCTAGCTCCATTTAAAGATTGGCTACCTCCACAAAAATAAAATCTACAGGTATGGTTGTGAATGTTCAGATGAGGGTACATATACTCCGAGCATTCATCACTCACTAACCCATCTACTAGTTCACATGCATCAGAAGGAGAAAATCACACTCGAAATCGCAGCAAAAATTGCAAGCTGTAAACAGGCCTTAATAAAGTTCTCTAAATAATTATGACAGGTCTTGAATGCAGTGGGAAATTAAAAGATAAGCCATTTCATGGAACTGTACTCTTGGAAGGCTGCCACGATCCTGTGAGAATGCTCATACATGTGAATAAGAAAAGTTTGTATGTTAAAGATGGTTTCAACAGGAAGGTTATGTCAAAACCAGTGCCTGTTCACATGCAAGTTTATTTGAAAAAGAAAGCTGGTATCGTTTATGTGACTGTAAGTGCCTAATATAAGGTTATATTCATTACAAATATTTGCAAGTATTATCATTGCTTACCATACATCCTCTATTTATCCCCATCCCCTGATGATCAAATAAGGCCCCATGCAGCTGAAAATGGGAAAACCTCAAACCTCAATAAGAATTTCGAGATGCCATTTTTCTTCAGGAAGTGTTTGCTGTTTTTTAATGGTATTTTTCCTCTTTCTGTATAGCTCATAGCGAAAGTGTGCCTTGTGTCTAAATTTTGTCTTCCAGCCGTTAATATTCTCAACAACCAGGAGATAAGAGTGCGTTGCAATGGTTCCGCATGTAAGTACTTGTCCGGAGGTTATGTTAATTCCACCTGAGTTTATCTGTGTGTATTTGTTGGTCAACACGATAGCTCACAAAATATCCAACATATTATTACGGGCTAATAGAAATAGTTCAAGGAACCATTTCGAAGGGTTTCTGTGAGGGACCTGTACCGGGTTCCGAAATCCCGCCATCCCGACCGATTTTCACTTCAAATCCCGTTATCCCGCTATGCCTCATGCCAATTTCCCGCTCCCGACTTTTTTCTAACACTGTTCAACATTTTTTTATTTAAAGAACATGCGACCTAAAACACAATTTGAATATACACTAGAATACAATACAACAAAGTTTAAAATAGCAATCATATATGTAAATGAAGGACTGATTAGGGATAAATGTTCGATATCATCCTTGAAAACAGTAAATTTCGAGCAAACAAATGGCAACCGATAGGCTAACGTACAGCTATACAAGTTTTGTTGATTTATTATAAGTAATAGCATGGCATTCAGGGCGATTGGTGATTAAATGTATTCGAAAGCCGAGAGAGGTTTAGTAAAAGTCCCGAGACGCGTAGCGCCGAGGGACTTTTACTAAACCTCTCGAGGCTTGAGGGACATTTCATCACTAATCGACCGTAATGCCATGCAATAATATTACTTTGTAATATCATAGTTAACGAGGGAATCGCGCGTGGTGTGTTGCCTGTTTTGAATGCTGTTTGATTGTCTTATGATTGTGGTACGAACACTTCTCATATATACGCAGGCGCAGAAACACATCTCCGTGTTCATTGGCGTTTTAGGCATGCGCATAAACGGAATTTTCTCCCACAATTGAAATGTTCAAGATTAGGGAGTAAAAACTGACAAAGTGATTGTTGGAATGTGTACGGGACGGTGTCGTCAGATACTAGGGAGCTTTAGATTTGACTACGAGTACGAGATTTGATCGCGTGCGAGGAAATTACCGTAGTCGTTTTCGTTTCCATTCAAATGTTGCTTTTATAACAGTGAACCAATAACTAGAGAAAAAGTTTCATAAACTAAATCTCCTGCCGACTAAAATCCCCTACAAAACGTGTAAATAAGTCATAACATTAAAAACAGGCCAGATATTTAGCACTAATATATTATTTGCGCCGGATAAACGCTATATAAATGCTACAAATTATTTTTGGAAAACAAAAAAAAGTCAACTTTCTTTGTTTTTTTTGAAAAGTCGTCGTGAGGACTACGAGGTTTCTCCACAATTTCGTACTCAGATGGGCGACAGCTACGACTTTTTAGCGTCAGTACCATAGAGATTATAAATAACACTAGAGGAGGCATTGTAATCTTAATTCAGTAAAAAAAAGGGAACGCGACTATTGGGGGGCAAATTCAAGTCCCGGATGTGTATTCGTGTTCCCATTTGTGACGAGTTTCAAATCAGCCAATGAGAGCACGATTTTATATCCGGGACTTGAATTTGCCCCCCATTAGCTGCGTTCCCAATTTTTAAACTCGATGCCTCCTCTAGTGTTATTTATAATCTCTATGGTCAGTACGGGATGGCGTAAGCATACAGCATGCGTTTAACTTGACGAATCTCGTACTCGTAGTCGTACTCGTAGTCAAATCTAAAGCTCCCTACTGTCCATAGTTGTGCCGATGATTTTCGATGAGGTACAACTCTCCAATCAGAGCTAATGAGGTACGCTTTTGTCTTCTAAATTTCCCTCATCAAGCATGCATTTGCCCGTGGTAAAATTAGTTCTAATTTTGCTCCATGTTTTAGTAATGAGGTAAATTAGTGATTAATCGTACCTCGTGAGACAAAGGATTTCGAGGCAACTATGATATTATCCAGCTAATCGCGCATCGGTTACTTCCCGCATGTCGCCATGGTATTTTTATTAATCCCACTTCCCGCGATGGAATAAAATCCCACTTCCCGCCAATATTTCTCTTAAAAACCCGAATCCCACTTGAGTTTTAGACGCATCCCGCAAAACCGGTACAGGCCCCTCTTCTGTGGGTATCCTGGCGTTTTTCCCATGTCACCAAAACCCAACCCATGGAGCCTTAGTTGTCAGGCAGGTTTAGGTCTGATAAATGTATAAACATTCCACTCAAAATATCGATCTACAAATCCCTTCGAAATAATAATAATGATAAAATTGTTTATTTCAACAATAATAATAATAATAAAATGTGATTAAATTGACTAACTAAATTAATATTTCACATAATTACATATAACAGAAATCACATTACTTTGACAGCACAGTGACACTAATATATGATGACGTAAACGGATTTCTGGAACGAAATCTACAAGCTACTTACTATGGTAATCATATATAGAGCGCAAAATTACTCGAATATGATTGGCTAATGATGAGGGCATTTTTTCTTAATTCAGGGCAAAATTGCTTGTACCCGATTGGCTGAGACGCAAGCGCGGGAAGTTCCTTGTTTTAAATAGCAATGAAAACGATGGCTTCTCGCTTTGTCGTTGCGGATAATGATCTTATTGAAGAATTAAAAACTTCTAGTGAAAACTCGTGCACTGGAAAAAGTACAAATTTATGTGTTGGAGTATTTAAGAAATGGCCAACATTAAGGAACTTCGGCAAACACATGGAGACATACGAGGTTCAAGAACTTGACAAGTTATTAACTTACGAATAAAGTTTGCCCTCTATGGTTAACAAGTAATCGCATGGTTCCTCGTAAAATTATGGTTTAATTTCACTTACGTTTTCAAAGTTTCACAATTTGTGAAACTTTCAAAACACGCGTGAAATTAAACCTTAATTTTACTCGGCCCCATGCGATTACCTATACTACTTTTTATGTACATATAGATGTAACTGAATATGACTATCTAATTCCATACAAGATGTATCGGGCGACTAAATTTTTAGTTATATCAAGTCAGATGCCCAAAAATCGTGATATTTACTATGAAATCTACTGTATGTTTTGTTTTTGGGACGCGCGTCCCAAAAACAATCTTTTAATCAGTAATTTCACAATTTTCGAAAGCTTATTATTCGAAGGATATTCATGTAAACGTCTTCAAACTTTGTATTGAGGTGGTCTTTTTAGTGATTTGGTTCACTTCTTAATCTGGGCACTTTTTAACACTCGTCCCCAATCCTCTCATCAACTTCGGAATGGCTAATTGGGCATCAATACCCTATGTACTTGACATTTGTAAATAAATAATTACCTCCGCCAGAATGTTATGCATGTTATCCGCGTTTGTGTGTGTGTCGATAACTTAAAACACGATAACTTAAAAAAGATCAAACGTATTAACACGAAAATTTGTGGGACTAATGGACATTACCCAAGGACAAATTGATTAAATTTTGGTTAAATTTGGATGAAAATCGGATGTGAAGTTAGCAAAATAGTTTATGCATGATACGTATACATGCATAAGTTATATTATTAGTACGTGGAAGTTCGTTCTGATTTTCAGGCAGTTGCAAAATACATCCAGACCCTGAAATTGTGAAATTGTATTCATCACCACCTATTCTGGCATTAAACATTCAAGAATTATATTCAGTAATATATTCCAGTTGTTTGGTAAAACAAGGCATAATATTCGTTATTATTTAGGGCCGACAATACCGTCATGGTCTTCAGACCCGACAACACAGAATAAGGCGTTCTCGGCAGGGCACAAGTCAGGCAACAGTTCTGGAGGTGGAGGTCAGTATATTATGTACGAAGGTCAAAGAAAAATGAAATATACTGTACAGTATAATTATATTTCTTGCACCGACGCAAATGATTACAAAGGCTATATAGTGGTTTGATTATAATTTCACTTCCGCCGAGAAGAATACTTCCAGTTTGGCTCTTAACCAAACAGTGCAGGTTTTCATCTGTTTTCCAGGGAATGTCAGGGAACCATTTGGTCCCATGGTCCGAAACCTTTTTGGATGGAGGAAGAAAGAAAGATAAAGCTAGCTGGCCTAGTATCCAAGTTAGTTTAGTTTTAGTTTCTCCCTGTAGTAACACTGGAGCAATAAAGGTTCACCTTTACTGGGCCCCTAGGACGGAACGAGTAAAGTTAGTTAAACCTGTAGTAACACTGAATCAATAAGAGATGATCCTTACTAGATCTCTAGGGAGAACGGTTTAGAACAGATAGAGCTAGAGACAAATGATAGAGACAAATTTGTTAAATTTTGGTTGAATTTGGATGAAAATCGAGGGAGCCTCGCAGTGCCTCGGAAGGTCGTCTCCAATTGGATGGGGGTTTCCTACAGAACGAAGCAATTCATTGTTCTGAACACAAAAGCAATTGTCAAATCGAGCCAATGAAAATCACTCTTACGAGCTACTGCGAGACTATCCGAAAATCGGATGTGAAATTAGCAAAATAATTTATGCATGATTACGTATGCAGTTTCCAAGTGCCCACTATAGTTCAGTTATATTATTAGTACGTGAAAGTTTGTTCTCGTTTTCAGGCAGTTGCATATAATACATCCAGACCCTGAAATTATCTTCTTCACCACCTATTCTGGCATTAAACATTCAAGATTTTATTTCAGGAATATATTCCAGTTGTTTGGTAAAACAAGGCATAATATTCGTTATAATTTAGGGTCGACAATGCCGCCATGGTCTTCAGATCCCACAACACAGCATAAGGCGTTCTCGGGAGGACACAAGTCAGGCAACAGTTCTGGAGGTGGAGGTCAGTATATTATGTACGAAGGACAAAGCAAAATGACATCTACATGCAGTATAATTATATTTCTTCCACTGACGCAAATTATTACAAAGCCTAGTGGTTATAGTTGTTTGATTATAATTTCACTTTCGCCAAAATGTGAGAAGATTACTTCCAGTTTGACTCTACCAAACAGTGCAGGTTTTTTTCCTGTTTTCCAGGGTCTGCTAACAGGGAGAGTGCTAGCATTCAATGGGTAAATAGTTGCATAAACGCATGTGCCCTACTTTTTAAATTTACTCTGTCTAACGCCAAACGATTTTACTCGTCAAGAGAGCGCTGGCAATCAATGGATAAACAACAAACATATGCAGGGCTTTCAAAATAAGCCGGCGGCCGCCGGAGCTCCGGCAGGTGCCACAAGGTTCACCACCGGTTACTTTGTTTAGTACTTGAAATATCAATTCTGCTCTCCTTCCTCCATTCTAAGCTTTCAAACAACGTTATTTCTCCTCAACTTGGTCTATACTTTATAGCCTGGGTATTTTCGAAAACGACGTACTATTTCGTAAAACCGATTTAGTTGTTTGCTATCTTAAATCTTGAAGTTACCTTGTTGAAGAATGAGAGTAGTGATATTATAATTTGGTTCCAGAGCTCAGTTGTGTTGCTATCTAATCAATATAAACTAGTTAATTTGGATGACTTTTCATTCCTATCACCTATGATGACAGTCGCAGGCACAGAGTGTAAAGTCGCCCAAAAGACATTCACATACAATCAAAGTAGAGGGGGGCATTGGGGGGTATTCAATACCGTTATACCGCAAGCAAATTTTGTCAATTACCGCAGTTTTTAGTCCGAAATTGCAAATACCGTGTACCGCAAGATTTCCAATATCGTTATACCGCAATTTTTCAAGGAAAATACCGAAATACCGTAAGAAAAATAAGCTAATACCGCCATACCGTAAATCCCAATGTCCCCCTCAAAGTAGGCAAGTAAATACATATGATTTTAAAATATAAAATTCATTACAAATTTTACTGTATACTGTGTAGTGATACACGTCTGGGCCGCCTGTGGGTTGACATTTCTGACGTTGATGCCCTGGACCACTTCAGAAACCGCATGCATATATTGACCGTGCTCTCATATACGAGTGTTCATAGACGGATGCAATGGTAACGGGTCCATGTCTCGCTGAAACCTATTCTATCCTTTATTATCCTTAGCCTTGTAATCTTGTAATCCTTGTAATCTTGTCATTCTTCTAATCCTTCTAATTTTCTAATCCTTGTAATCTTGTAATCTTTGTAATCCTTGTA